AGCAAATGATCCCGGTAACGCAATCCGGTTATGCTGCGTTTCACAATTGCTGATTATACTAGTAATGATAACTGTAAAAGTAGAAATTATTCGTGTGGTTTTCGCGTATTTTGCGAGGAGTCCAAAAGCGTGAAATTAAGACCACACGAAAATATTCTGTTCCGCGTTGGAATGTAGAACACAATACCCAAATCAAAACAACCATGCTTATATGCTTATTTCTTCAAGTGGACCTTAATTTCCATGATTACTAATTTGGTGATCTGTGATGATATTTGACAGGTGCATAATTTCATACCAGTGCAAAGTATTGTAAAACACTGTAATTTCCCAAGAGAATTTTTTTTTATAAATTTGCAATTCTGTAAAAAACATAAAATTGTGTAGCAGTGACATGTCCTATGACATGTGTCATTTCATGTAATTTTTGTCATGAATACCATGAAAATTTCTTGCAGTGAAAATGTGAGTTCTTCAACATACTTACATACCAAAACAAATCTTTTAAAAAACACTTGTACCAGTATGTTCAGTTTATATAATAAACACGTTGTAATTTTATGTCTATTTCAGGAAGAAATTGCTAAATTATTGCGCTATGAATCCTCTACACAACCAGAAGGTCATAAAGTGGGTTTACTTGATTACTGTAACAGAATGGAAGCTGGACAAAGACACATATATTACCTATGCACTCCAAGGTATACTCATCTTATTTGACAACCAAGACATTGTCAACTATAATCTCTATGCAAATATGATGATATAGTGAAAGATTGGTCAGATCAGTGAGTGTTGAGTTCAGTTTCCAAAATAGCAATATGCAAAAGAGCTGTGACATCAGAGCTTGGTAGCCAATAGGAAATTATGTTCATTTGATACAAGTTTTAATCAACAAATTGATGCATAACAATTTTCCATATTTACTGCACTATTTTCACGAATAGTGGCTTTCCAGAAATTTTAAAATAAGAACCAATTTTGGATAAATGAAACAAAATACTTGTAGTGATAAGGTTATTTCAGTTCGAATTATTAAAATAAAGATTTTATCTGAGCATCTGAAAAATTGTTTTTCTTTTTTTGTCATATATGTACAGTCGAAAAATTGCAGAAAGCTCTCCATATTTTGAAGCTGCTAAAAATCGAAATTTTGAAGTGCTGTTTTGTTACGACGAATATGATGAATTGTCACTGCTTCAACTGAGAGAGTTCGACAAGAAAATTGTGACATCAGTAGAAAATGAAATGATGGCAACATCAGATAAAGAAACAACACTGGAAGGAGTTGGAGGTGAGTATCGTAGTAGTACTACTGAAAAAGCAGTGCATTCTGGGTTTTGGCATGCTTCCTGTTTCAACTATGCCCTCTACATACAGCTTTATTTTTGACAGCAAGTAATTGCATTGAGACCATTTATTCCCCGTTTTATTCAAGTTTGAAACAAAATACATAATAGTAAACATGGCTGTCAATTTGTCTTAGATTCGACAATACACATGATAATGTTTTGGAGTTATTTCTGTGACATTTGCCAATGATTGTTAAATTTAGCACTCTGGTTTCATTAGCTCTAGCTCACCCTAACCATAATTCACATATGGTGTTAATATGATTTCAGGTGAAGGCCATTTGTCTGTCGTTGAAACAGACTCGCTTGTTGAATATTTGAAAACCGCCTTAGGAAAGAAAGTTGCACAAATCAAGGTAAGTACCATTCTTGATATGTCAATGTTGCTTTGCCACATTGGTTGAAGCCATCTTGGATTTAATAAATGACACACTTCTGTGGAAAGTGACAAAATTTATTGCTAAATAAATAACTCTGCAGTAGATGAGAAAACAAAAAAGGCTGCAGATTTAATTGATCATAGTATTGATAAAGCCGATGTAGTTCACATCTCATAATTACATATTTGCTCTAAATTATAGAGGTTTTTAAAAACGGTAACCAATCTTTTTTTAAGTTTGATTATATTACCTACCGGGTTACGAGAGTAACATTTCTGTATTTCTGCAAAGTTACTCAGTGAACACTGTATTCTTTCAGGTTAGTAAGAGATTGGATAACCACCCTGCAATGGTGACCGTCATGGAAATGGGGGCAGCCAGACACTTTCTGAAAAATGCTTTGAAAGGACGAAGTGAGGAGGAGAAGTTACAAGTCTTACAACCAATGCTAGAAATTAATACCAGGTAATATCAACTCAATTGTTAGTCATTACACTTCAAATTTGTTATGAGTTAAAGCCTGAGTTTGTAAAAATGGAGGAAAGATAAATCAGGGATCTCGCCAGCCCAATGTGAGTGCCGGTCAGTCATGAATATTAATGAGCTATATGAATATTAATTAGCAAAGAATATTAATGAGTTCGGTCACAGTGGAAATATTTTTGGAATTAAGACATTATGTTTCACAATTTAGAAGAGTTTGAATTTAAAAATGAAATACATTCAAAATGAGAATGCTGCAGACTAAAAAACAGAAACAAATGAATTATTGTAAAAAGTTAAATAAAACGCATTTGAAACGCTTCAGCCAGGAATATTTCACGATCTTATTTACTCCAAATACATACCACGTATTGTTGTTATTTATTATTCGTACCATCAATTTCTAAAACGTATATGTTTACTACATCACCTACCAGAAATTCCGTGGAAATAATAAATTCCATTTATTACTCGTAGGCTTAACTACAGATTACAGCCCCAATCGGAAACTATTAGGGAATATACCCTGTTCACAACGAACAACTTAGGGTAGCATTCCCTATAGGACAACACCTCTCCTTAGGGGCCACGCTTCCACGTTTCCGAAATAATTTTACGCTCCGCGGTTTTACAAGCAGACGAAAGACAGGTTACAGTTTTCTGACTGAGAATTTCTCGTGTGGCGATTGACTCATTACGGTAAAGGCTTTCCATTATTAGGGGCCCCTTTTTGCCTGTTTTTAGTTGAATTGCTTTTTACTTTTTCTTCGTAATTTTTTGCAGACTCTAAGTCTGAAAAAAAGTTGAAGAACGTCCTGCCTCAGACGGAACGTAGGATATGCTCTTCCTGCTATACGCTTATGCCCGAGTGGGATCCCCATATGTGCTGTCACTCCTGCCTTAATTGCGTCGGAGACTCCGGGGTTTGCCTTGAGGGTATTTGTGATATGTGGGACCATAAAATGTGGCTCATGTGCGAAGCAGGGTGGAAGGCGGAAGGCAAGCAATTGAAGGCTGGTAGAGATCGCGGAAAGAAGGGGAAATCCCTTACTGCCGCTAGCTCCAGTGTGTCAGCTTCTAGGAGTGAGAAATCTTTCCTTACTATGCTTGGTGGTCACCACGAGGCTCGCCTCCGTTCGACAACCGAGGATTTGAGAGAGTTGTCACGATCTGACTCCCCGCTCGAGGTGGCGGGGTCGTCAAGTGAGACAAGACCGCCGAAACAGTTTACCGCTGAGGTAACGCAAGGGGCGGTCCATAGTGCGGGAACATCGATGGCAGATCTCAATTCTCCCAACGTGGAGTGGGCTTTCCCATCGGATATTACCAAGGCTAATGAACATTGGTCAACCGCTTTTGCGGTGAGATCGGAGTTCCCGGTCACCACGGCGACTGACGTTGATAAACGGTGTGTTCCCTTTGGGGCACCGACATCGGCACTGAGTCCCGTGGTGGAATCGGCATGCCGTTCAGAGACCGAACCGGTTCAGTTCACCGGTACTTTACCGTTACCGACACAGCCTGAGTTCATTGCGCAATCACAAGGACAGGCCTGAAGAAATGGCTTGGACAGTCTGGATGCGTAGTCTGGCTTCAAAAGTCAACTCCCTTCTGCAGTCTCAGGGTAGGACTCAGGAGGACCTTGGGGGGGGGGGTAAGTCAGTTGGGGGGGGGGGGGCTGATATTGCCTGTACCCTCATCACCAGGGCTAGGGTCAAGATGTGTCCCTTTCTCCCAGTGATCTCTCCTTTAGAGGGTCAGTGGGGGGAAAATTCACATCAGTGGGAAGGGAAGCGCCCACTTCTATTATTCCCCCCCCCCAGGCTCGGGCTAACCAGGCATTGTTTCCTGCGTCTTCCCAAGCCGCACAGAGTGTTCCCTCTTATGACTCTGCGAGGGGAGGGGACTCCAGTGTTGGTACCCCTGGACAGGGTGGTACGTTACCCTCTTATGGGGCACAGCGACCACTTACCCGACAGGAAGGGGGGGCGAGCACTTTGTCGTTTCTCGTCCCCACTTTGGCGGGGCAGTCACAGGATACCCAACCAACCGGAGCCCAGCTGTCCCTTACTAATATGCAGTTAAGGTCGCAGCTTGTGAACCGTGCAGTGATGGCCGCGAGACTCTTGTTTCGCACGGGACCGGTGAGAATCCTCCCCCTCCCCCGGATGGGGGAGTCACCTTTGGACCAGTTTTCATCGGCGCTCTCCTCTCCCACTGCCGGCGTAGAGACCACGCCCGCAGGCCAACTCCCCTGGGCACCACGTGTGACCCAGGCTATGGAGGGGGCTCAGAGGGCAATGAAAGGGGGCGAATGGTACTCTTTGGGGGAAAAGAACAAACAGCTTGAACCTGGTTTAGGAGCGGTTACGTCCAATGCCTTCCATTGGGTCAATCGATACCCCATTGGGGCTACGCGAACCGTCGATGGTTCCCCTGAGTGGGACACTTACGCGGTACCACAGCCTTCTCCACAGGTTCCTCGTCCTGATCCCGGTACCCATACTTTTGTTAAGGCGGATAGGGAAGGCCACGTTGCGTGGTCATTTGAGCGGCACCAGAGCCTACTAGTGCATAGGGCTTTACGAGCGGAACTTAGACCCATAAATTTTTTTAGAATGGGTTACTCTAGCAGTAGATCATCAGCTCACATTGCTAAGTTCTGACCGTCTGGATGCTCAGCAACAAACCTTGATCCTCGGGCAGATGGGCCAGTTCCTGGCGGCGCAGAGAGTCGCTATGTACGATATCCTTCAAGTCCATACTGCCCTCTTGGCAGGAGCGGTTGCGGCTGAGCGTGAGGCAGTTCTGGGTGTGTGCGCCTATCCTACTCCAGCAGGAAGCAAGTTTGATCTCCTGTGGAGAAGGCCTTGGGTGCGTGACCGGCTATTTGGTGGCTGGTTAGTAGATGCGGTGAACGGTTTTGCGGTTGCGGAAGATCAGCGTATCCAATTGCAGCAATCGTCTCTGTTGGCTAAGGTAGCTACTCCTTCTGGTCAACGGGTCAGACCAAAACCGCAAGGCAGCCCAGGTAGGAAGTCCGCCGCTTGTAGCCTCAATCTACGAGGATCAAAGCGCTCATGGTCTCCTTCGAGGAGACTAGGAGTGGGAAGCGTCAACGAAAGCCCAAGTAACGTGGCGTTGGTGGTGGGCGTTCTGACACTGATTTCGCCGGCTACCTAGACATGGATGGTGGTATGACTCCGGGTCTCCCTCCCCGGGGTTCCTGGGCTCAGATTCCCCCTCTTCGTCCTCCCATTCTGGAGGATGGAGTTCGGGAAGCACTAGCTCCTAACCCCCGTCCGCTCCTTCCCGTGGGATCGCGCCTAATGCAGCACATACCAGCTTGGCGCAGGAGGGTCTCTGATCCCTGGACGCTCAAAGTAGTGTCCCATGGGTATCGGATTCCTCTTCAGTCTCCTCCTCCCCTGACTCCTCACCCTCCCTCAGGTCTTTTGTCGAGGGATGAGGTCAAGGCGGAGACAATCCGACAGGAGGTAGAGCCTTCTGGAAAAAAGGGCGATACGCCTAGTGGGGAACCCCCGTGTATCACCAGGGTTATATTCCCACATCTTCCTCTCCAGAGTGCTAAGACAGGTGACCCAGCTGCTACACCGGTCGTCGATCTATCTGAACCCATACCTCGACGGCTGGTTAATACACAACCGAGACAGGGAGGTCTTAGTGGAGCATGTGCGGTTGACGCAGACGCTCCTGCACGTTTTTATTAATAAATATTGCCAAGTCCAACCCTATACCGTCCCACAGCCTAGTGTTTCTGGGTATGCAGTTCGACACGGAGCAAGGGCGTGTTCGCCCCCCTCAGGAGCGATGCGGCTTGCTTGTAGAGCTCGCCAGCCAACTCCGGTCGACGGGATCGGCGTCAATGTGCGAACTGATGCGGCTTATTGGCAAAATGACGTCAGTTCGTGGTCTGATTCCGTTAGCAGCTCTCCGGTCTCATCCGATTCAGAGGTGCTTACTGGACTACAGAGTCCACATGAGGAACTTGACCTTCAGGGTTCAACTGTTGGATCAAGCGATGGCGGCCCTCCTTTGGTGGCAGGACGCACAGAACTTGGTAGCGGGTGTACCTCTAGATCCGACGACCCCTTCATTGACTCTCATTACAGATGCGTCGCTCCAGGGATGGGGTGGTCATCTGATGGACCTTTAGGTCCAGGGGATGTGGCCGCCCACATATTGGGACCGCCACTTAAATTAGTTGGAGTTGCAGACCGTCCTACTGTCTCTGAAACATTTTCAGGAAGTCGCACACCACCACAGAGTCTTGCTTCGGACAGACAACTGCTCAGTAGTGTCGTACATCAACAAGGAGGGGGTACTCGTTCCCCCACGTTGTCGAAGCTAGCGGAGGAGATTCTTCCTTGATTCCTGGAGATTGAAGTGGAGCTATTGGCGGGATACGCAACAATGCCCCGGGCGCCCTCTTGAGACGTATTCGGTTCAAGAACACCGATTGGCAGATCCCCCCAATGGGTGGCGGACAGGCTTTTTCGTCTCTGGGACGGTCCCCCGATAGATCTGTTTGCCAATCACCACGACGCCAAGCTCCCAACGTACGTGTCACTCCTTCCGGAGACTAGCGCATTCGCCACGGACGCTTTATCAATTTCTTGGAGCCACATAGACGCTTACGCATTTCCACCCTTCCATCTGGTGCACCAAGTGTTGGAGAAGTTACGACTCGAGCCAGTGAAGATCTGGTTCCCGTTGTTGCTGGAACTTCTAGTCGAGTCGCCAGTGGAGCTGCCGGATCTTCTGGATCTGTTGTCCCAGCTGGACGGCACGCTACTAATGAGCCCGCGTTATTTCATCTTCACACGTGGAGGCTATCGATAAACTCATGCAAGCGCAGGGCTTTTGTGCAGAGTTGTCCAAGTTCCTCGCTTCGGCTTGTACGAATCCAGATGGAAATTGTACTCTGATTGGTGTGACGGAAGGGAGATTGATCATCTCAG